TTTTTTTAATAATTACTTTATTTGTACAGGCTCAATCGAATAAACTTTACAGAGCCGAGATATCCTTTCCGTTATACATTATTACTGTCTTAAATTTAAAGTTAAAGGAACTGGACCGAGTACTCGAGGTTGTCTCGAGGTTAGTGGAGATTTACAATTTTTTGGATGGGAAAAGGGAAGAAGGAGGTTTGAAATGTGGTTTACGATACAAATATTTAATTAATCCTAAAACATGAAATTATCTTGAAAACAAACATTGAAAAAAAAACCCCACATGTACAAAATACAAACTAAACACAAGGTTAATCAAACTTACAGTCTAAGGTTGATATTCTTAAAGTAAACATATATGAGTTTCATAAACTCCAGATCGCGTCTAGTCAAAATATCCCGAACTGGAACATTAGGTTGTCTACCTCGAGCCCGAAGGGAATCATAAAAATGTGATCTGACTCCACGATACTCCGCACAAGACCAAAGGATGTGATCAGCGTCCTGGTAACCTTGTCCACATTCACAGAGATTGCTGTCTCGCAACCCCACACGGAACAAGTGAGCGTTTAGACAATAGTGATTGGACATGAGACGAGACATCACGCGTATGAAGTCCCGACCCAAGTCCAACCCTTTGAACCATACAAACTTCAACACCTTAGGGATTATTGAATGTAGTCATCGTCCCAAACTCCCTTCACTCCATTGATGTTGTCAGCTAACGAGCGACTGCTGACGATAAATAGAGAAAAATTCGCTATAGGCGATTTGTCGATCATAAATGTCGCCGTCTATAGCGCTCACCTTCGCAAGTGAATCCGCCTTCTCATTGCCCAAAATTGAGCAATGCGAAGGGACCCACGCGAAGGTGATGATGAAAGAGCGCACGAATAAAGCTCTAAGCAGCTCTCGTATTTTCAAGAGAAAATACGAGAAGTGCTTTACCGGCTTAATGGAACGGATAGCCTCGACAGAACTGAGACTATCCGTAAAAATAAAGTAGTGGTCTGGAAGAAGTGAAGCAATAGTTTCCAAAGTGCAGTGAATTGCTGCCAGTTCAGCCACATATACAGAACAAGGAGCTTCAAGTTTTCGAGAGGCGCTATGAAATTCATTAAATACACCAAAACCAGCGGACTCCTCTATTAGAGATCCATCTGTGAAAAACGTTCTTGCAGAATCAACATCGCCAAACTTTGCAGAGTATAATGACGGAGCAATCATAGGACGATGATGCTCTGGAGTTCCGCGGATTTCCTGCGTCATAGATAAATCAAAATTCACTGAATTTCCGAAATCGGAGAAGACTACACGATTGGGAATATTTCTTGAAGGGCTGACATCCTGTGTTAAATATAGGAAGTACAAAGTCATAAAACATGTTTGAGGATTTAGCTCCAGAAGCTTCTCAAAGTTTTCGATCACCAGTGGGTTCATTACTTCGCAACGGGTGAGGAGCCTCAAAGATAACTCTGAAAAACGGACGGATAGTGGCAACATGCCCGCCAGCACTTCGAGACTCATAGCATGAGTCGAACTGTTCAGGATTTAAAACAATAAATTGAGCTTTGGAAAATTTGCAAGGCTTTTGAATCTAGACAACCTGCAGGACTTTGAAGTATGTTCGTGATAGTCTTGAGGATAATTAATTAGATTTTTAAATAGAATTTCAAAGTACCTGTGAATATTGAGTTACTTTAGCAGTCTGAAATACTTTAGAATTCTGAATTGCCCTAGATTTCAGAATTTAAAGGAAATTCTGAAAATAGTTTACAGTGAAGTGTAAGTGTGCAGTCTGTGCAACCTTTGATTGAAGTGAAGACGGCAGAAATTGTCTTTTGCAAACTCTGATGACAATTGCAGGAAGATTTTGTGAAGAAAGGAAATAGTTAGAATTCGGAAGAGAAATCATAGAAAATTCTTAAGATGAAAATTTAGGAGAATGCTGATATGAATCGTGAAAATAATTTCAATGGAATTCTGTCCAATGTTTCTATGGAGATAAGGTTTTATCAAGTTTCTGGGAGACTTTCAAGGCTATTTTGGCAAAGTACATGAGTACTTAGAGTATACTGAAGAGGATTAGTCTGAGAAGAATGTGATAGTCATTCTGAAGAGCGTACAAAAGAAATTATTAAGAATATTCTAAGGGAGTTTCATAGAGAAAAATGAGGACAAAGCTGTGCCAATTCTTGGAAATTATTACCAGTTTGAGGGAATTGTGGAATCAGAGAGTGAATTATAGGAGATTTCAAGAGATAATGCTAATCACTCTTTGAATGTTATACGTTTGGATATTATCAAGATTGATAAAAGAATAGAAGTATGATGAAATTCTAGGATGATTAAAATTGAACTCTGTAAATGAAGTAAACCCAGGAAAAATTATAAATTCCAGAAATAAGAATCATTTCAAGATCCTGAGACTTCAAAAATGACGCTTTCAGACTTTCATTTTAGTTACCTAATAATATTATTCTTTGGCATAAAATTATTTGTAATGGTCATGTGGAGTTATCCGTAGTTTACGTAAATCGTGTGTGAGTACGAGGATGTTAGGCTTTGATTCTCACTTCAGCCAGGAGGATTTTAGTTTAAAATAAAATTGCCCACTGGTCTACCGAGTGTTGTGAGTTGTATGATGTCAAGAATGAAATTGGAAGTCTGATCAATCTCAGATAAATATTACAATTATTTAAAACTAATAAAATTTTAAGATATATTATGGTACTGCATCAACTGTTAAGAACCAAATCGACTATTAGTTTAAAAAATATCATCCCATCAAAATTGCTTGACTCTTTGCTGCTTCAGAATCCTAAAAGTATTTTCTGCAGTATTTTAGCAAAAATTTAAATCAATTATGAAATGCTGCGTAATGGATATTTAAACTTTTTGGGAACAATGTGTCAATACTTTTCTTAACTTTTGGGTGATTTAAGCAATGCTAACAAGTTGACTTTATATATTTTTTTAAACATGGATTTCATAAACATTCTGGTAGTCTTTGAATAAATTCTAGATGATCATACTGGCTGATTTTTACGGGAGATTGGCACATCACTTTGATTTCAGTAGCATTATGTTAAAAACAGGATTTTTTGGAGCATTTCAGATTTATCCAGATTTTATATTGAGATTGGACCAGACTTTCCAGAAAATAACCTGGCAACGCTGGATGCATGCACAAAGTTACTTTGCAAACTCTCTAAGGCGCTTTCCAGCCATGGGGATATTGTGGGTTAAATTCCCACCCACTACCGTTTTTTTTGCAAAATATTTCTCAAGTCACTCTTCCATATCGTCACTCATCATGTACCCATCATCAACCCAAATAATATTTTCTTCCCGTTTCTCATACCCAGGCATGGTAAATCATTTGCATTCATTTCGTGCATTCATTTACATTCATTTGCTCCTAACTTTTCTGATCAACAGAATTCCGCAAAATGACGTAACGAGGTTTTGTGGGTTTTGTTATTAGCTACAACTTTTGCTAAAAATTTAAATCCGTATCTCTTATGCATGACGAAACAAAGCGAATAGAACCCACTACTGTTTTTCAGTGAATGTATTTTACATTCACTGAAAAACAGTAATAAGTTCTGCCCGCTCTAATTCGTGATGCATAAGAGATACAGATTAAAATTACAAGCAAAAGTTGTAGCTTATAACAAAACCTACATAGCGGCGCCGGTGGTGTAGTGGTAAGCGTGATTACCTCTCACCCCAGCAGGCCTGGGTTCAATCCCAGTCGGCGCCGTCGGGATGTTCTGAGGCATAACATATCTGATCACGCCTTCCTTCGGAAGGGAAGTAAAGCCGTTGGTCCCCGGTTCATGAGTTGATGGGTCGATAGGTAAGGTCCAGGTGTGGAAGCTGCCTCCCTGGCGTCGGTAGCATTGGTGCTCAGCACGGAAAACCAAAAAAAAAAAAAAAAAAAAAAAAACCAAAACCTACAAAAGTTCCATACGTCATTTTGCGGAATGCTGCTGATGAAAAAAGTTAGAGGCAAATGAATGTAAATGAATGCATGAAATGAATGTAAATGATTTACCAATACCTACTGACCTTAAAAATCTCCCGCAAATCCAAATCGCCACCAAATTCGTTCTTATTTGGCACAGTTGATTGAGAATCGAAAGAGCAGTGGGGAACAGGTGCTTGTAAAGTTGACCCACCCTACTGACCACGTTGTCCTGTTCCTCTTCGCGGTACATTTCAAGGCTACTACTACTACAACAATTCAGTGGCATCGGTCACACAAATAATTGCTGCAGTAGATGGTACTGCAAGGGATGCAAATTTTAAATCTCAGCCAGTTGCACGTAAACTAACACCACTATCAGAAAGGATAATGTTCCCCCAACAATTATGCAAAGCATAAAAGATCGGAGAAGATCACGTCTGAGCGATTCATCACTTGGCGTAGAAATGCTCTTAACTTTCTCCATGTTAATTTTTTGTTGACACTAGGTTCCAGCTCGGTCAAAGTCAAGCAGAACTATGATGCAGAAAGACATGTACAAAGGAAACCAACATCAATCCACCCACGGGCACAACCCGCCACTTCGGTCCCATTAGCTCAATCGCCTTGAGTCATAAATAAGTAAATAAATTACACTTTCTTGCTGCCATTAAGCTCATAATCTACAAGTATACTTATGAACAACATCCCACATCGAACGGTAGCTTCTCCTACAGGCAACCGACTTCCATGGGACCAACTCAAAGCCGTATGTCCTCGAGCTCTTAGAAGAAAAAAAAAATGATTGCTGTTTTGTGTGGTCACGGTTCTTGAGTGGCTGTGACACCACCAGGTTGGAAAGTAGTAAGTTGCCGGAAAAGGGATGAAGGGAGCGTTGAGCTTGATTGCCCTCTCGCACTGGCTATTAGCAATCAAGCAAACTACGACGGGTGCGGGACGTTCTTTAGTGGTCGATATGCCTTACAGTTGGTCGAAGCACTGTGCTTAATGTAACAGAAAATTGTTATCGAGCACCCACCTGTTCTGCTAGCCTCCCGCAGCAGGTCGTCGATGAGTTCGTCACGCACGTGGATGCCCAGATTCCGCAGCATAAACTGTAGCTCCTCGGGCGTCACGTGGCCATCCTGATCCCTGTCCAGCAGATCAAACGCCGTTCGTAGATCTGAAAGAGAAGTCGAAAAGAAAAATATCCGATGAAAATTGCTTTCCTACTCATTTGCTTCCTGCCGACAGTAGGAAAATATAGATCAAATCGAGAAAGTGACATTATCGAGGGTAGATGAGCTTCCTAGAAAAGTGGAACGAAAGCTTTTAGTCTGTTTTGAAAAGCATCGGATCGATGCGGTTAACTCGTGGCATTAGCATAAAACCTTAGTCACTTTCCAATTTTCGTCATCATTCCCGGAGCATGTTTGAGAACAACCGAACGCGAAAAAGATCCGAGAGAATTCCTCGGGGCGAGATGACGAGTAGCGTCGATAAGACGTTCACTTTGCATAATCAAATCTTCAGCCGGCAGCCAATGGAACGGATGGAGTTTTCAAAGCGAGCTTGAAGAGAAGTGCTTTTGATGGGAACGTTCACGTGTTCACTCAGGCGTGTGTCACGTGGTGCCGCAGAAAGAAACCGTTTACCTTGCGGATATAAATTTCGGATGCCTCCTTCAGCGGAAGGGTTTCCTTATTTTCTTTGAGTTGTGTTTAGTATTTTGAAAGAAAAAAGTAAGAGATTGTATCCAAGACACGACCGTAGATTTGACGTAGGATTACGAAAGGTAGTTATGATGTCACTGCAAAAGTATAGTAAATATTAAATTGATTTCTTAACCCGTTATCAGTGAAAAATTTCGATAGGTTGAAATTCGGAAGCAATTTGAGAGTTATGTTTTTGAGGTGCTCTGTCGATGTCCATGTAGTACAAGCCAATCTTGAACGATATGTCTTGGATTCAAGCTCTTACTCTTTAGTTAATTCTTTTATCAGTGATTTGTGGTCCTGTAAAGGACCGATGGGTTGGAAGCTTGAAAGCTAGTTAAGAACAATACTGTGGAAATGTTTCCTCGATGTTCTTGAAGATGATAGCAGTGCGGAAATGAAATATGTCTTAGGGAAAACACATCAATCACAGAATCTGAGCCTACCGGATGGTTCCTACGTTTATGCTTTTTATTCAAATTTTAAGCCCCTTCTATTATCTTATTAGCAATTTTTTTTTTAAATTAAAGTCACTTTAACGCTCTTGGGTCATTTGTGACTTGTCTGGGAGTGAGATTCGAACTCGTGACTTTGGCGTGGTATGGATGCTAACCACTACGCCGGGGTCGCCCCAATTCGGCAAGGTTTTTTTTTTATTTTTGGCATTATGCTCTTAAAAGAAGGGGCTTAAAATTTGCAACAAAAGGCATAAAGCTCGGTCCCGTCTGGCATGATCAGTGCTTGGTATCAATATTCGGCGACTGTGCTAGGGAAACCACTTTTCCCGTCACGAAAACGCTACGTTTTCTGATGACAAAATTACGCATTTACGTGCACAAAACGAACGAATTTTTTGGTTTATTCAGAAGATAATAAAAAAAAGCGAATGATTGGAGGAATTTCTTGCTCAAATTTTTCCAATCGCGAGATATTCGCGATCAATCATAAATTCGAGATTTTTTGCTTTTTCTAGCGTCAGATCAGATCAGATCAGATCAGATTGACCGCCCACGGTTGCTGCTCTGTTATTACCAGATCAGCTGCAATTACACAGAGAACCAACAGATGATGTTTGGGACTAACATTCATCCTCAATGTGTAAGAACTGGAGATCTAATATTTAGCAATACCAGCGCCGGCCGTGTCCGAATGCAGGTCAACTAGGGAATGGGAAGGAATGTGTTGACGTGGTACTCGCTGTGAAGGAAACCGAGAAATCCTCTGCGCTTCCACGAGAAATCACTGGGATGTTGGATGTGGGGAAAGGTTGCACGCACACGCAGGGATCGTTTTTGGTAGAGCGATTATAATACACAACCACACACACACACACACGCGCGCGCGCACTCATCCAATTTCTATTTTTAGATGAGGACCCACACTGTGGTAAGTAATACGATCGGTGTTAAAGAAGAATTTGTTTTCATTAAAATCTAGTGGGTATAGAATAAGGCAAAGTGAAAAATTGCAAGGAAGGGGACGGGCCTGGGATTGAACTCCCGACCTTCTGCTCAGTAAGCAGAAACGGTAACCACTGAGCTACCGAGCCTCGTCAGAGATTTTTTGCTTTTTCTAGCGTCCTGGAGAAAATCTTTGGAAGTGTCTCTGGTTAATTGACATGGTCATCTGGTATTCGGTCATTACGCGAATTTGTATGTACCACTTCAATACTTGACGCATTTGACCACCAACGTTTAGTTGCTGGGCACATTATCAAAGAACTTTGGGGGTGATGTGGCTGGCAGAAAGGCGAGCGAACATTCAATGAAAATTAACTCTTAAACAATAATAATTGATGGTGATCCTAAAAAGTACCGTTTTGTCGTAATGGTTGAGTAATGCTAAGCTATTGGCTTGTTTAGAATTAAAATCCATCCACTCTTGACAGAGTTATATGTGGTCAAAACCTGACCACTTTTCGTAATGCGATCAATTTTGTTTTTTTTTTTTTAATTGCACCCCCCATATGTTGCCGAAAGACGTAATCCTACGTAAAAAAAAAATACGCTTCCAAATTTAAGGACCGTTTTGTCGTGATGATTGAGTAATGCTGAGCTATTAGGGTGTTCAACACGGATAAGGCTGGCGAGCCACCGACGAGCCGACATGCCACAGGAGCATTACGGTTGTCCACAATACGAATTGTCAAACGAGCGATTCGAACTTTCAAACGGGCGATCAGATCTGTCAAATGAGGTGAGACGCAAACCAAGACAATGTAAATTATACGTGGGTTCGTGTCCTTGCTCATGGTATGACGCGATCGGATGAGTAGATGTCGGTAGTGTTTAACGTATTTTAAATATGGCGTCTTGGGCACAAATTTGAGAGTAGCTTGTATGTTACTTGGAACTCACAAACAGGCTGCTTTTTCAGGCTAGAGCTTCAGAGAGGTTGGGAGATCTACAGAAAAAATTGTTGAGCTTCAGCGTAGTTACTAGATCTTGAGATCAGAACTTGAAAACTTCAGAAAATTTTACAGAAATTAAAAGAAATTTTCAGAAATTTGGAAAAATTCTCAAGAGTGATCGTTGATCTTTATATAAATGATCATAGAAATTTTCAAAACTTCAAGCAAGCCAAAATATTTTCAGATCAATTTGTAAAGCTATAAGCGACATTTTTCAAATCTTCAGCGAAATCCACAAAACTTCATACAAGTCCAAGAATCTACAGTGTAATGTAAAGAATTTCACAGAAGTTTGGAGATCTACTGAAAAATTATTGGACATCAGAAATTTCGTAGATCTTCAAAATAAAGCTATAGAATTTTGAAAAAAATAACAGAACTTCTGAAAAAATCACAGGAATGGTCATAGATCTTCAGATAAATTTAAAGATCTTCAAGAAAGTGTGCAGATTTTCTGATACATTTTTAAAATCTTAGAAATTTTAATGGATCTTCAGTGCAATTTGCAGAACTTGAGGGGAGGTCAGCGATTTTTTAAAAATATTTATACGATGTTAGGGAAATTTGCAGATTTTGAGAGAGACATTTACAACTTCAAGGAAGCCCAAATGTGTTAAGATAAATTTTGAGAACGTTTGTTAATTCAGAAGTTCTTCAGGGAAATTTTCAGATCTTTAGAGTTGCCTGAGAGAATACAGAAAAATTTACAAAACTTCAGCGAGTTTGCAGAACTATCGAGAAATTGATTGAGCGTCAAGGTTTTTTTTTTTGTAGTTCTTGAGAATAGAACTACGGAGCTTCAGACAAGTCTACAGAACTTTAAAGATATTTGTAGAACTTGAAAATAGATAGATATGAAGAACTTCAGGGAAGTCCATAGATCTTAAGAGAAGTCTGTAGAACTTCAGGAAGTTCGTACAGTTTTAGAAAAAAAAAACAAAGCTTCAGCAAAACTCATAGAACTTCAGGAAAGTTCGCCGATCTTTAGAAGTATTTACGCAACTTCAGAGAAATTCTTAAATCTTCTGAGAAATTTTTAAAACTTTAGCGGTGTTCAAATATTTTCAGTTAAGTTGTAGAGCTTTGAGGAATTACAAAGAATTTCAGATTAATCTGCAGAACTTTACGGAAATCCAAGAATCCTCAAATAAATTTACAGAGCTTAAGAGAGGTTTGGAAATCTACTGAGAAATTAATTTAACTTCAGGGCAGTTTGTAGATATTCAGAGCAGAAATACAGTACTTCCGAAAACTTTGCAGAATTTAAAATTTTTTTTAGCAACTTCAGAAAAGTTCAGAGAGTAGATCGTAAATCTGCAGGTGTTTAAATAAATTCTTGGATGTTAAAGAAAATTTGCAGAGCTCCATGGAAGTTCACTGATCTTTAGAGATATTTGCACAACTTAAGAAAATTAGTAGATTTTCAGAGAACTTACAAAAACCTTCGGGAAGCTCAAAAATTTCTGGGTAAACTTTTAATACTTTAGGGAATTGTGTAGATGTTCGGAGATATTTTCAGATATTCATTGAATTATGAAAATCTACAAAACTTTCAATAAGTGCACAGATTATAAGAACTTTAGTGAACATCAGAGATAATTGTTGATCTTTAGGGTTTTTAAATATATTAGGGTTTTTAAATATGCTGATCTTCAGAAAAGTTTGTTGATCTCCGAAGATATATTACCAGAGAACAGAAATAAAACTACAGGGACGTTCGAAAATCTTCGGAGAAACATGCAGAATTGAGTTCTTAACAGAAATTTTCATATCTCAAGGAATCATTTAGATCTATAGAGAACTATACCCACTACCCGAGCAAAGTAGAATAATAACCCGATATCATATAGATAACAAGTCTTACTATCCCAGATATCATTTTGTTTTCAGTTGTTATCGCATAACTTATTTAGTTATCAGTCTTGAACAATTTTGTTATCAGTTGTTATCCTGGAAAAAAACACTATATATTTACTAACGATGCAAGGCTAGTTCAAAACTTTAAATATTAGTCGCATTGAAACATTAAAAAATAGTGCTTTTAATCCCTAATCATAT